GAAAAATGCCATTGGTATTTTGATAGGGATTGCATTGAATCTGTAGGTGACTTTGAGTAGTAAGGACATTTTAACAATGTTAATCCTGTCCATGAGCACAGTATGTGCTTCTATTTATTTGTGACTTCTTCAGTTTTTTTTCATGGTCATAATTTTTTGAGTATAGGTCTTTTACATCCTTGTTTAAATTTCTACCTAGGTGTTTTGTTGTTGTTGCTGTTGTTATTTTTGATGCAATTGTAAATGGGATTATTTTCTTAATTTATCTTTCCGATAGTTCATTATTGGTATATAAAAATGCAACTGATTTCAGAATGTTAGGTTTATATCTCGGCTGCTTTACTGCATTCGTTTATTAGTTCTAATAGTTTTTTGGTGGGCTCCGTCATTATCTGCAGATAATGACAATTTTACTTTTTCCTTTCCAATTGGGATACCTTTTATTTCTTCTTGTCTGGTTGCTGTGGCGTCCAGTACTGTGTCGAATAAAAGTGGTGAACGTGAACATCCATGTCTTGTTCCTGATTTTAAAGAAAACGCTTCTAGCTTTTCCCCATTGAGTATGATGTTAGCTGTGGGTTTGTCATATGTGCCATTTATTATTACAGTTTTCTAGTATAGTTTGATATCAGGTAGCGTGATACCTCTAACTTCATTCTTCTTTCAAGATTGCTTTGGCTATTCAGGATCTTTTGTGGTTCTAAATTTTATGATTATTTTTGTTGTGAAAAATGTCGTTATTTTTAAAGGGATTGCTACAGATTGCTTTGGGTAGTATGGACATTTTAACGATGTTAATTCTTCCTATCCATGAGCATGGTATATGTTTCTATTTATTTGTATCTTCTTCAATTTCTTTTTTCATTGACATAATTTTCTAAGAACAGGTCTTTTACCTCCTTGGTTAATTTGAGATATTGGCCTATAGTTTTCTTTTTTGTAATATCTTTGTCTGATTTTGGAATCAAGGTAATGGTGGCCTCATAAAAGGAGTTAGGGAGCCTTCCCTCTTCTTGAATTTTTTGGAATAGTTTGAGGATAGGTGTTAATTCACCTTTGAATATTTGGTAAAATTCACTGGTAGCCATCTAGTCCTGGACTTTTGTTTTTTGGGAGGTGTTTTCTTATGGGTTTTTTTGTTGTTGTTGTTGTTGTTGTTGTTGTTTTTGATTACTGATTCAATTTCATTAGTAATAATCTGTTTAGATCTTCTATTCTTGACTCAGTTTTGGAAGATTGTATGTTTCTAGGAATGTATCCATTTCTTCCAGATTGTCCAATTTATTGGCATATAATTGTTTATAGTATTTCTTATAATCCTTTGTATTACAGTGGTGTCAGTTGTCACTTCACCTCTTTCATTTCTGGTTGTATCTATTTGGGTCCTCTCTCTGTTTTTCTCGAAGAGTCTGGTTAAAGGTTTATCACTTTGATTTATCCTAAGAACCACCTCTTGGTTTCATTGATCTTTCGTATTTTCTTTAGACTCTATTTTTTAAATTTCTGCCCTGATCTTTATCATTTCCTTTCTTCTACTCACTTTCGGCAACGTTTGTTGTTCTTTTCTAGTTACTTTAGGTGTAAGGTTAGTGTTGATTTGAGATTTTTCTTGTTTCTTGAGGTAGACCTGTATTGCTATGAATTTCCCAACTAGGACAGCTTTGGCTGTGTCCCACGGATTTGGGGTCATGTTTTCATTTTCATTTGTTTCTAAGTATCTTTTGATTTCTTCCTTGACTCATTGTTAACCCATTCATTGTTTAGTAACATGTTATTTAGCCTCCATGTGTTTGTGTTTCCTTTTTTTTTCGTGTAATTGATTTCTAGTTTCATACCATTGCAATCGGAGAAGTGCTTGATAGATTTCAGTCATCTTAAATTTACTGAGACTTGTTTCGCGGCCTAACATGTGGTCTGTCTTGGAAAATGTTCCGTGTGCACTAGAGAAGAATGTATATTCTGCTGCTTTGGGGTGAAACACTCTAAAAATATTATTAAATCCATCTAGTCTAGTGTGTCATTTAAGGCTGCTATTTCTTTATTGATTTTCTGTCTGGAAGACCTGTCCACTGGTATCAATGGGATGTGAAAGTCCCCTACTATGAGTGTGGTACTATTGATCTCTCCCCTTAGGCTGGTCGATATTTGCTTTATATATTAATGCGCTCCTATGTTGGGTACATAAATGTTTATAAGGGTTATATCTTGTTGTATTGATCTTTTTATCAGGGATCTCCAACCCCCAGGCCACAGACCAGTATCGGTCCATGGCCTGTTAGGAACTGGGCCACACAGCAGGGGGTGAGCGGCCGGTTGGAGGGGCGGGGGGGAGCGAAGCTTCATCCCTATCTGCAGCCGCTCCCAGCGCCAGCATCACCGCCTCAGCTCCGCCTCAGATCCTCAGGCACTGGATTCTGATAGGAGCACCGGTCCCTGATGCCACAAAGATTAGAGACTTCTGCTTTTATTGTTATGAAACATCTTTCTTTGTCTCTTATTATAGCCTTTGTTTTAAAGTCTGTTTTGTCTGACATAAATATCGCTACCAGAGCTTTTTTTTTTTCTTTTTCCCTTTCCATTTGCATGAAATGTATTTTCCATCCGTTTACTTTCAGTCTGTGTGTGTCTTTCAACCCAAAGTAGTGGAGTGGATCTCTTGTAGACAGCAGTGTATGAGTCTTGTTTTCCTATCCATTCAGCTACCCTGTGTCTTTGGATTAGAGCATTTAATCCATTTACATTTAAAGTGATCATCGATAGGTATGTTGTTATTGCCATTTTCTTGTTCATAGTCATGTTCTTTTTAAAGAAGTTCATTGAACATTTCGTGGAATACTGGTTTGATGATAATGAACTTTAGTTTTTTCCTGTCCGGGAAGCTCTTTGCCTCTCCTTGTTTTAAATAATAGCCTTGCTGGGCAGAGTAATCTTGGTCGTAGGTCCTTGCTTGTCGTCACTTTGAATATTTTGAAATCAGCTGATGGTCTTATGAGAACTCTCTTGTAGGTAACTAACTGCCTTTCTCCTGATGCTTTAACATTTCTCTCTTTGTCTTTCACCTTTGGCATTTTAATTATGACGTGTCCTGGTGGGGGTTATCCGCGGGTTTATCTTGTGTGGGACTGTGCAGTTCCTGGGCTTGTCCATTTCCTTCACACCAGGGTAGGCAAGTTTTCCATTATTATTTCTTGAGACAGGTTCCCAATTCCTTGCGCTCTCTTTTCTTCTGTCACCCATACGATGCGAACGTTGGCGCGCTTGATGTCGTCCCAAAGGTCCCTTAAACTGTCCTCATTTTTTCAGATTCTTTTTCGTTTCACCGTTCTGACTGGATGTTCTCTGCTACCTTGTCTTCCCAGTTGCTGGTCCGCTCCCCTGCTTTCTCTCATCTCCTGTCGAATCCCTTTGATGTATTCTCTGTTTCAGTTCTGTAGTCTTCGTCTCTGACCGGTTCTTTTCACGGTTCCTGTCTCCATTTTTTTTCCTATCTCTTCGTTGAAGTTCTCACCGAGTTCCTCC